AACAATAGGTTGCCCTTAGCATCTAGGTTCAACTGAAAACCCCTGCTGCTATAATCTAAAAATAGCCTCTTCTTCCCAGGGTGCTTAATCCTGCTGTGCTCCAAGAGACCCTGGATGTTGTGAAAAGTGCATGGGCAAAACAAACATCCCAAGCCATGTGTGAGCAAGTGGTACCTTAGCTCCTCCTCCTCTGAGACGAGGCACTTGCAGGAGAGGCAATGCATACTCTTCCCCCTTGTCCACTTCAGAAATGGTGCACAAACCACCAGCTTTTCTGGTTCAAATTTCTCACTGGAGTTAGACTCACATAGTTTGTGAACCTCTTCCATGTGAGCCTGGTGCTTGGCCTGTCTGAGAACCATATCCACCTCAGGTGAAGTAGCCTGACTCAATACGCTTTGGTCAGCAGTGCCCACCAGCCCTTGCAGGGAAGGCAAGCTGGGCTGAGCACTGGATATTTGTGTGCCTACATTGGAGGGCAAGAATCGAATGGGCATCTGTGATGGGGTAACAGTCACAAGGCTAACACCCTGAGGAACAGGCAAAGTGACAGGCATGGGGTCCGGTGTATATACAGGTTTCCCATTCACCTGTACCTCTGTTGGGTGTAGTTTCCTGAAAACAGAGCCTGACTTGAGGAACACTGTGTTATGTGAAGTTTCAGCTCTTACTGGCTGGCTCACAAACTGACTAAGCCACAGCGCACTGGGCTTTACTGGTGGGCCTGCAGAAAGGACTTCTGATGTTGTGGACTGACCACGCTGAAGAACACCAGAGCTCACACCTTGGTTCACAGGGACACCTGAGACTGCCAGCCGTTTGGGGGACAGCAGCCCAGATGATGGCACTTGGTGTGCAGGGAAAACCCTGAAGGGCACTGTCTGGCCAGAGGGGAGAACCTGTAATGGGGCTGTCTGATTTACATGGAAAAGCTCTGACTGGACCACTTGGCCTGTAGGAAGGGCCCCAGAAACTGCTGTCTGCGCAGGAATCACCGAAGCAGGGGTCACCTGACCTGCAGGTAGGACTGCCAACGGGGCTGCATGACCCACAGAAATCACTCCTGGTGAGGTGGTCTGCAGAATCCCAGGACTGACAGAGAGACCAGAAGGCAGAATACCAGACCTCATCTGCTTGCTTATAGGCCCTCCCTGTCTCACTGGAGGCCCCGGTGGCCTGCTTATAGGCCTCACCAGTCTCACTGGAGGGGCCACTGATCTGCTTGTAGACCCTATGGGCTGTGAGAGAGGTAAAACCTCAGGTTGGATGGCTTGATTCATTGGGAGAATGTTGATTCCAACAGATTTATTCACAGGCCCAAGTGGCTGACCCAGGGGCAGCACAGGCAGGTTTACAGGCTGATTAAGTGGAGCCTTCCCTGAGTAAAAGACAAGTGAGGGAGCTGAAGGCTGCAGGGTGGTGAAGTTGGTCTGGCCCAAAGGTAGAGGGCTAGAGACTTCAGCCAGGTGGGATGGCACAGTGGTTGGCAATGAACCAGTGAGACTCCAGGAAGGACCTGGGGCCCCAGTCACTACCTGCACCATGGCCTGACTTCCACTATTCTGTGGCAAGGCCAGATGGAAGGGAGGTGGCTGTGCAGGGGACATCACGTGGGAAGCACTTCTGTTTGGCTGTCTAAACAAGCCAGCCCTTGGCTTTGGAGCACTATGTGTTTGCTTCAGAAGCCCTCTTACTCTGTTCTGAGATCATGGACCTCAGCTTACTCTCCAAGTCCTCATGTACACCTGACATCAAAATATGGGACATCAGATCGTCCTGGCTGCTCTCGTGGGCACTGCATTTTTTACAATAATATCTTTCAGGTGGCAGAGTATTCTCCACAGGAAGAACATCACTGGCTGCCCACTGTTCCCTAGCTTCCTCCTGCCCCCTAACTTCCAGCTGCCCCCTAGTGTGAAGGCCAACATAGGTGTTAAGTAAGTAGTGAAAATGGGCCAACAGCACATGCTTCTTCATGCTACAGAACAAAGTACTGGAAAAGTTACATTTTAGACATATGAAACATTTCTTGCCAGTTCTGGATGACCTCCCCTTTCCTGCAACCTTCGGCCTGGCCCCAGCTGACTGGTGGAACAGCTGGAAGTGCCTGCTCACCACCTCTGGCTGAGAGAAGGAGCACTCCGGACACAGGACCTGCAGCTCTCCAACGGCCTCCTCTTCATGGCAGTGATGAAAATGATTTTTGAAATAAGTGAGCACATTGGTTGAGTACTTGCAGAGACTGCAGCAGTACAGTTTGGTTCGGTAGCTTTTCTTTCTGGAAAGTTTCTGGGGAGAAACATCTGGCCAGGAGGTACTATAGAAGTACCTGTCCTCTGGGCTGAAGCCCTTCAGGCTCCTCAGTAGCTCCTGGCAGCTGTGGCGCCCGACCGTCTGGAGAATGCCCTTCACCCAGGGCCACATGCCCCACACGAACTCGGGTGTCTTCCACGGGATTTTGAAACATTCTGGAGATTTTGTCCTGTAACAACAGAACTGTCTCAGTGGTACCGTTCTCCACCTTGGCATTAGGAACCCTATCAGCACCCGCACACCCAGCCGAGCCCCACCCTCCAGTCCCAAACTGGCCAGCCACCGCCTGGCCTTCCAATCCCACAGCAGCCCGCCTCACACCTGGCCCACCTGGCCTTCCAGTGCACACTGGCCCCCCTCCCCCTTGACCCCCCCCCCCCTGGCCTTCCAGTGCACACTGGCCCACCTCACACTTGACCCCCATTCCAGTGTATACTGGCCCTCCTCACACCTGACCCACCTCACACCTGCCCCAAGCAACCAGGCCCTCCAGTCTCACAACAGCCCACCTAACACCCTGCCTCATATCTGGCACCTCCACCCCCAGTCACACGCCAGTGCACTTCACACCCAGCCCCACTTCAAACTCCAGTCATACCCTGGCCACCTTGAACCTAGCACCTCACCCCCCTCCAGTCACACCCCGACCACCTCACACTGTACTTGGGCTGGCTCGCTTCACACCCCAGCCACCTTGTGCTGTACGCATGCGCTCTAGTCGCACCCATCCCCCTCACACCCTGCCCCATCCGGCCCAAGCCTAGCACCTCACCCTCTAGTCACACCCAGCCCGAGCCCAGCCCCAGCTCGCGCGGGCCCCACTGCACTCTCATTTACCCTTGGAGACCCCCGAGACCCTAGTCAGCTCCTTAGCACCAGCCTGACAGCAGCCAGCCGTTGCTCCTGCCCTTGTGAGAGAAAATGGCGCCCAGACACTTCAGGAAGTGACGTGTCTTTGCATTCCTTGGCAGCAGCCAATAGGCATAGAGTGGACAAGAGGATCTGGCCCATCCCTCACCCACTCCTTCTGCTCCCGCCTTGCTCCAGCCCGTGGGCAGGCCACCTGACTCGAGACTTCCTTCCCATATATGGTGGCTGACTGAGATGGTGGGTCCCATGGCCTATGAGTCCCTCGGGACGGTGAGCACCCCCCCACTGCTAATACACTTGTGCATCCACAGCCTGATCTGTGCTGAGCAAAAGACTAAAGATGTTCCAGTGTTGGGTTCTTTCATTGGAGAAGGTTCTAGAATGAGAAGATGGAATTTGTTATCTTGGCCAAAGTGTTAATTAACCGTTCTGGATTTGAAAACTCTAATTCCATTTGAACAAGATAGATGACAGTATGAGTGAAGTGCCTGGTGGGGCGGTGGGGGAGGGGAAGAGGGAGCGTGTACCCTCAAACCTGAAACCACTGCTGGTGCTTTCCACACCCGAGTGGTGTTTGTGGCAGTGGAGACCAAGAGTCCAGCCTGGGGCTAGTGGTACATGCTTGTAGTCCTGGTGTTCAGGAAGTGGAGTCAGGAGAATCACCGTGAGTTTGAAGCCAGCCTGGGCTACATGGCAAGGCCCTGTTTCAAAAATGAGAATGCAAGCCAGGCATGGTTGTGCTCCTCTTTAATTCCAGCACTCGGGAGGCAGAGGCAGGCATATCTCTGTAAGATCGAGGATGGCCTGGCCTACATAGCTAGTTCTAGGCCAGCTGGGGCTACAGGGAGACCCTGTCTCATAAAGACCAATGATGGAGGCCTAGAGATGGCTCAACGGTTAAAAGCACTGACTGCTCTTGCAGAGGACCCAGGTTCAATTCCCAGCATCCACATGGCGACTACGAACCATCCTTAACTCCAGTCCAGGGGAATCCAAAGCCCTCTTCTGACCTCTGAGGCATTGCATGACACGGGCGCACTCACATACATATAGGCAGTGCACTCATACACATAGAATAAAAATAATAAAAATTTTTTAAAAAGACCCATGATGATGATGATGACAGGAAGACCCTGTCTCAAAAAGGCCAATGATGATGATGATGACCATGGCAGACCCTGTCTCAAAAATGCCAACGATGATGATGATGATGATGATGATGACAATAAACAAAAAAGAGAGAGAGCTGGGGGAGTGGATCAACAGTAGGTTGTTTGACTAGTTTGCACAAGGCCATAGCGCAAGCATACACATGTCATATATCTAGTTTTATGTAAAATTGCCATCTCTTTTTATTTTTATAACCCTGAATGAAGTAAGCAAATTCAGTTTGGTTGGTTGAAATAGACTTAAAATTCCCAGGATAAGAAATGAAGAAGAAATAAAAGAAATTGAATTTTTACTGCAGCCTGTTGCATTCCAGTCAGATTTGAAGAATGTTTCCTGACAGGATAGATTAATAAAAGTTAGAATTTATTCCTTAGAGGGGTCTATAACAACTTTTGGAACAAGTTGAAATTTTCTCTAAATGGGAGAATTAACTCAAGAAAAAGACTTCAAAATGAACTGACATTTTCAAGTTCCATCTAGTCTTATCACTCTCATATGGAAACAATTTTATTCTCTGAATAATCAAAATATTTTCAGAGCCAATTCCTTTAACTGCCTAAAGAAAGCAACAGGCCTTTCTGTGTGTATCAATAAACAGCAAATGCTACCAAAATACGCTAAACAAAATTTGGGGCTTCTTTTCCCAGGTGCTGGTTCCCCAAAGATGTTTAACTGTCTCCTTACCAAACCTACTCACCCGGCTGGACCAAATGCCTGACTATTCCATCTTCCGGGGCTATATCATTGTAAGTACCATGTTCTTTGCATAAGCGTCTCATCAGGTTGCCTGGGAACTGGAGTCCCTCACAGGCTCTCATGTCTTTCCTTTGCAGCAATACAATCTGGCTAGTGCAATAGAGACTGCAGATGCGTACACTGTGTTTGCTCCTAATAATGACGCCATTGAGGATTACATCAGAGAGAAGAAGGTGGCCACTTTTGTTTGTGAAAGTTCAAAAACTCAACATTTCCTTTGCTTTCCTTTTGAAGATTTCTTTTTATTTTTAATTGTGTGTGTGCATGTGTGTAGACATGTGCTCACGAGTGCAGGTGCCCTTGGAGACAAAAGGCATTGGATCTCCTTAGAGCTGGAGTTAGAATGGTTGTGAGCTACCTGACCATGGGTGCTGGGAACCAAACTCAGGTCCTCTACAAGAGAAGTACACACCCTTAACTGCTGAACCATCTCTCCAGCCCCATCAATGTTTTCAAGCCATTTGTCATATACCATTTCATGTTTTCATCAAAACCTGTTTGTCCATACCTGCATATTTAATGGAGATCAGAGACACACACAGATCTCCCCATGTCACCACTGCCATGTGTTTAGTTCACACCTCTAGAATCAGACACTTGAACTCATTGCTCATCGGATGTCTGAGGACATGATAAAAAGCTGATTCTACAGATGATAGGAAAGTGCCATGCAGACACAGCTGTTGTTGCAGGAAAAAATGGTAGAAGCCAGAAGCAAGCATCAAGGATCAGAGTTTGCTCCCACCTCAGCCTCCCATCTCCCGCAAGCATTTCCTATGGGCAGAGCCTAATAGGGAGCCAAGATACCTAGATATCTAGAAGGTAGTAATAAAATAAAACAGGGGCCTGAGTGATGGCTTAGCTGATAAAGGTGCTAGCCACACACATCTGTGGGTACATCTGTAATCCCAGAACTCCTACAGTGAGATGAGAGGTGGAGACAGGAGAATCACCTGTAAACTCCCAGGCCAGCTAGCCTTGAGTACAAAAAAACACAGCAGAAACAAGGCAGACTCTGCCTCAACAAGGTCAAAGGTGAGAACCTGCTCCTGAAATGTGTCCTCTGACCCCCACACACCACACACTCACTGTGGCATACAACCAACTCTCATGGGGTGGGGAGAAACTAAAATTTTTAATAAAAAAATTGAAACGGAAGGCCTTTGCTATTGTCCATAAAAGCATGAATTCTCTTTTCATGTAGAAAAAAATGAGGACATAAAATAAAATCAACTGAAAATACTAATTTTCATTTCAAAGAGCTATTTATAATTATAATCCAAACACTCCATACACAACTTGTGCAATTGTTTATCATTTTCTCCGGTGTCATTTTTAAAAAAATATTTTATTGCTTTGTGTATGAGCGTTCTGTCTCCATGTATGTAAGTGCACCATATGCATGCAATGCCTGCAGAAGCCAGAAGAGGATGTTGGATCCCCTGGAATTGGAGTTACAGACAGTTATTAGCTACCAAGTGGGCTCTGGGACTCAAACCCAAGTCTTCTGGAAGAATAGGAAGTGTTCTTAACCACAGAGTCATCTCTCCAGCCCCTCCAGTGTCACTTTTTAATGTCAGAAAAGATATTCCTTTATTACTACAACTCTTTTCAAATCCAGAAGCCTTTGTACTGATATAATTGTAGTTATTTTATATAGTGTTTTTCTCTCATATTTTTATTTGGTTTGGGAGGTAGGCATTTTAATAGTACTAAAATACTTGGAATAATTTTCATATTCTTGTCATGAATATTATTTTATATTTTCTGCAGAAATATATAATTTTATAACACTGATTGCTAATGCTTATTTTATGTTGAATTTTGGAGCCAAAATTTTTGTGAAATCAAAAAATCATTTTAAAAATCAACTTGCCACTTTCATGTCCCCTATCTAGCTGTTCTTGGCCATCCTAGCTAGAAATTTCTCACAGTCACAACTCAACTTTTGTGCTTGATGTCTTGCACTTAGACAAGCTGCCCCTCCTCTTTCTAAGCCCATGGTGTTAGCACAGTGGAATGGAGCATAGGTGACTAGCTGATTTATTGCCTGACTTCGCCTTGTATGTGTGGCACAGGAAGAAGATTTACTCTGGTACCACGTGGTCCTGGAGGAGAAACTCCTGAAAAATGACTTGCACAACGGCATGCACTGGGAGACCATGCTGGGCTTCTCCTACCTCCTTGGCTTCTTTCTCCACAATGATCAGGTACATCCTTCCATTCAAAACCCAGAGCAAGTGTCTCATCTTCTATCCACCCTTACTTCTTCTGTACTGGAGGAACCTCTCCAGATCTTCCTACGTTTTATCAACACAAGCAGTTGTTTTTCCTATGCCAGAAAGTAGTGGCTAAACTTCACTGTCAGGTTTCCATTCACATGTTGTGTGGTCAGTCTTCTGATAACCAGTGTAGCCCTGCAAACTATGGTATTTGAATCCCAGTAGTAATGGGCATCCTTCAGCACAGGTACCACAAACCCAGCAGACAATCTTCAAATAATCTTCAAACAGTATCCAAGATGGAAGGGAACCTTGTTGCTCAAGCTAACTTGCAAGATGTGGCACTGGCTCCAGGAAATTAGGAGCCTAATGATATGTATAAGGCCCAGCAGCCAAATAAATTAACAATATCGTTGCATAATCTTAGAGACTGCATCAACCTCCACACTGGTATTTCAGTGCTTATCGTATACAATGCCTAAGTATTTAAATGATCAGAATTCATAAAAGAGATTCACATGACTAAATATTTACTATATTTGCAATATAAAAATCTAATTCTTTAAGAGTCCATGTGTATATCTAAAGGCTACATAACAAGAAACAATGCCAGGCAGGTGATACCTTCTTTTGAGGTGTTGGCCAGGGTAGCCCAAGAGACTCCCAGACAGTAACCCAGCATAGAACTGGGAAAATGAACAGCAGGCCCCAATCTTATCTAAGGAATATTGGCAACTGATTGCTGCTAGATGAGGAAGAGGTGATCTTCCTAAAACAAGGAACTCTAGATAGGCTGACTCAATTCAATGGATGGACTAACTGGGGAACAGCAGGGGCACTGACAACACAGTGGACAGTAACAGGGATGACAGAGTATATGGCCTCTAGTGGCAGGGGGCAGGCTATGGGAGGCTAACATTTGAGATGCAGGTAAAAAGATGAATATGATTGTTTGGGATGTTTTGCATGAAATACACAAAAAATCAATCAATAAAAAATGAGTTAATTTTTAAAAATCTCTTCATGTACTTCAAGTACCAAGTTTTTAAAAAATCTATAAAATTTCGAAGCCAGGCATAGTGCTGCACATCTTTAATCCTAGCATTCCGGAGGTAGAGGCCAGCAGATCTCTGTGAGATGGAGAACAACCTGATCTACATAGCAAGTTTCAGGCTAGCTGGGGCTACAGGGAGACCCTGTCTCAAACAACAGTAACAACAACAAAAAAAACTATGAGAATTTAATAAGAAGCAATATCATTCTAAAATCTCACAATTTTTAAAATTATTTAAGGGACATTAAGAATCCAAGTATGGCACGTGCCTCTAATCCCAGAACTATGGAGGCTGAAGGAGAAGGATTACAAGTTTGAAGCCAATCTATGCTACATACCAAGTTCCAGGCCAGGGTAGTCTTAGCTACTAACAACACCTTACTAGAGAAAGTGGACAAGGGAGCATAGGGAGAGGGGGGCACATGCATTATATTGGAATGAAAGTTTAATTGTGCAGACTTTGAAGCAATAATATTATTTGATCCTTTAAAAAATGTATAATCTGGGACTTCAGCAGTTAACAGCACTGGCTGCTCTTGCAGAGAACCCAGGTTCGATTCCCAGCACCCACATAGCAGCAAACAACTGTCCATAACTCCTGTTCCTGGGGATATCACACCCTCTTCTGACCTCCACAAGTATTGCATGACATGGGTGCACTTACGTACCTTCAGGCAAAACACTCAGACACATAAAATAAAAATAATAAATAAAAAACTTTTTTGTCTTTTTGAGACAGGGTCTCCCTGTAGCCCCAGCTGTCCTGGAACTCACTATGTAGACCAAGCTGACCTTGAACTTACGGAGATCCGCCTCTGCCTCCCGAGTGCTGGGACTAAAGGCGTGCACCACCACGCCCGGCAAATAAAATATTTTTTAAAATAAATAAAGTGTATAAGAAATTATTCAATTGTGTCAGCATTGAAATAAGCAAAATTTATGTAAACACTTTTGAAACCAGAGAATTTTTTTTTTTTTTTTTTTGCATTACAAGCTTTAGACTTGTAGGGAACTAGAAAAAGTCAGAACAGGGCAATTTTCAAATGTTCATATGAAAGTCCATTGGAGTTTCTTTACATCCTTCTACTGGGTTCTTCCTCATTTTTCTTTTGTCTTCCAAGGCTGGAATAGTTGGCTGGGAAGAGTAGCTGGATACTCAGGTGAGGATCCAGTGACCCTGCTTGGCACTCCTTTAATGAATGAGCACAACCCTCGACAAGCCCCATTGTGACTGTGTTTAGCGATCAGGCTCAGCTGAAGTCATGATGATGGTACTTATTTCATGCAGAAGGGACTTCTGTATAGCATCATCTTATTAAAAGGGCCTGGAATTTAAAAGGATTTGGTGCTAGGAGCCACATATGAGGAACATACATCATTTGTTTTTCTGAGTCTGTGTTACTTCATTTAGTATATCAGTTTCTAGATCCATCCATTTACCTGCAAATTTCATTATTTCATCTTTCTTTACTGCTGAGTAGACTGCCATTGTATAAATATACCACATTTTTGTTAACCACTCATCAGTTAGGGACACTTAGGTTGCTTCCATCTCTTAGCTATTGTGAAAAGAACAGCAACAAACATGGATGTACAAGTGTCTCTGCAATTGGATGAATTTCTTGGGTATATGCCAAGGAGTGGTACAACTGGGTCAAATTGTAGGTTCATTTTTAGTTTTTTAAAGAGTTCTCCACACTGCTTTCCATAGGGGTTGAACAAGTTTGCA